CAATGTCTCGTGTGTGTCGTGTGTGTGTGGTGTGTGCACAATCACAGCTTTTGTTCTGCTGTTTTCCATTGTTGGCTTTTATGAACTCTATCACCGTAAACTACAGCCCATTCTCAATCCACTGCAGGATGGTGGCCTCCCACACCGCGTCGGTCATCGTGGTTGTCGAAACTAAAACAAAGTATTTGTATTTTACCAGGTAAAAGCAGAACGAGCTACGTAGCTATTTTTTTCAGAAGCGTCGTGGCCACAAATGATAGCTCAACGAAGTGGCTTATCACGTGGAAATGTATAGCAGCCAAACACTCTAAACGCCCGTTGTTTCTAAAAGAGGAGAAAAAAAATCCACGCGACCATGAGGAGAGAGACACGCAAACTCCAAATATACAGCAGCAGGTGTCAGGGTCAGGATCGAACCCACGACCTCCTGCATACCATGCGAAGTAGTTAACATCGAACCACTGTGGTGGCCCCACGGTGGCGAGAGGGTTTGACCATACCTCACCGGGGCCGGTGAATGCGGGCTGCTGATGGATTGAGGTGTGGTAGTCCTTGACCGGTTCGTCCATTTTATTCGCAACCGATCGTAGCCATAGCTGAGAGTTGAACGCGGGACAGCAAGTTCAGAGGGGCTGTGCGATAACTGCTGCATCGTTGCACCTACCTGATTTATGGACTGTGCTGTTTACCCAGAGATCTGAGTTTGATTCCGGGCCACGGCGAACATCAACGGTGAGCGATATACGAGGCAGTCCTGGGCCTCCGCTTTAATTAATCCGCATTGACCAGCGTGGTGAAGTATGGTCAAACAATGTCCATGACCGACCCAATGCAAAGAGGCCTTCATCCAGCGGTGGATTTATGTAACATCGTCTGAATCTTTATTTTCAGAATTATAATATTTAATTAGATTGGGGGAATCCGATGAGCTATGAAGCTCTTTTTCACAGATGTCCAGTATTGACAAAAAGCTAAAATGTTTTGATAATTCAGCAATTACTGAACTTTACGCATTAGTCTCTCTCGGAATAAAACCAAATGCATATATAAAGTGCATTGAATTGTTACGCAATCCACCCCACTTAAAAAAAAAACTCTCTTCAACTCTAATAATGCATTCTAGAACTTGAAACGAATCCTGTGTAAGCTATAGCAGGGTAAATCAATGAATAATTATCCATTATAAACACAAGGTATCGTTTAAAACGATAGAATTTATGAGTGTGACTTCATTCTACAGCACTTTTGGTTGACTGCTGCTTGTTTGGAAAATCTTATTTAACTTTGCGTGAGGTGTTTGATATTTAAATGTTATATTATTCACATTGCATACCAATGCACCTTGGTGATAATAAGCCCCAATGATGGGCAACGCATTTCATATTCAGTGGCACGTCATAATATGATATTAACAATAAATAATGTAAGACTCATAGCAGATCGATTTACGGGTAAGTAGAAACAATACCTACCCATAACAACTGCGTCACGGCAAGAGGATTTATGACCATACTCACCACGGTATGTGAGTTGCGTGGGTTGGTGAAGAGATGAGGACCCTGGAGCGGTTCATATCTCACCACCGATACAATAGTCACAAGTCGGGACTCAAACTTAGGTCGCTCACTGACATTTGTACGACCGCTCAGAAACAAAGTTGGGTTTGAAGTATCAGTGCACACAAGTCGCCGGTCTATGCCACTGCGTGATTGGATGTCTCTGAGATCTTTAAAAAAAAATCTTCTTCAAAAGAATCACCCCTCAAAGTCCACGGATTTGGCTTGAACAGCCAGCCCATCGCAGAGATTCAGATAAAACGCATGTACGCATTCTTATGTATTTCACACCGTACGTAGTCAACCGTGCTCATCGGAGGTGTACGGGAAAAAAACAACAAACTAACCACACAAAACTGTTTTAAGGAAATGAGTTTTCAATCTAGAGTAATAGGTGCACAGCTCCAGTGGCTTTCTAATACTGGAAGGACGAGCGTTCTAGACGCCTGCAGACGCGCATCCGAAAGCCCGCGATACAGTGGCCAATATTTGTTCGATGGGTAGCCAAAAGCCGCTGCTGCTGCGATGATGAGCGGAGATCACGTGATGATGGTTTATGCTCCTTGATCAGCGAGGTACTGTGGTTCATTTGTGGCACATTCACACCGTGGACGAAGCATCTGGTGCACGTGGCTCGTGTCACCTTAGCGATTAATTTGTTTTTTTCACTTTTCACTGCCGGCTGGTTGGCTCGCCAGAAATGTAGACTTTAAAACGCGAGACATCCGCTAAAAAAACAACTCTACCGGAGCACACGAGCGAGTGGCTGGTTGGGTGGAGCTTGAGGCGGTGAGTTGCTGGTTGGGTGGAGCGTGAGGCGGTGAGTGGCTGGTTGGGTGGAGCGTGAAGCGGTGGGTGTCTGGTTGGGTGGAGCGTGTGGCGGTGAGTGGCTGGTTGGGTGGAGCGTGAGGCGGTGAGTGGCTGGTAGGGTGGAGCTTGAGGCGGTGAGTGGCTGGTGGGGTGGAGCGTGTGGCGGTGAGTGGCTGGTTGGGTGGAGCGTGAGGCGGTGAGTGGCTGGTGGGGTGGAGCGTGAGGCGGTGAGTGGCTGGTTGGGTGGAGCGTGAGGCGGTGAGTGGCTGGTGGGGTGGAGCGTGTGGCGGTGAGTGGCTGGTTGGGTGGAGCGTGAGGCGGTGAGTGGCTGGTAGGGTGGCGCTTGAGGCGGTGAGTGGCTGGTTGGGTGGGGCGTGAGGCGGTGAGTGGCTGGTTGGGTGGAGCGTGAGGCGGTGAGTGGCTGGTTGGGTGGAGCGTGAGGCGGTGAGTGGCTGGTTGGGTGGAGCGTGAGGCGGTGGGTGTCTGGTTGGGTGGAGCGTGAGGCGGTGAGTGGCTGGTAGGGTGGAGCTTGAGGCGGTGAGTGGCTGGTGGGGTGGAGCGTGGGGCGGTGGGTGTCTGGCTGGGTGGAGCGTGAGGCGGTGAGTGGCTGGTTGGGTGGAGCGTGAGGCAGTGAGTGGCTGGTTGGGTGGAGCGTGAGGCGGTGAGTGTCTGGTGGGGTGGAGCGTGAGGCGGTGAGTGGCTGGTGGGGTGGAGCGTGGGGCGGTGAGTGTCTGGTGGGGTGGAGCGTGAGGCGGTGGGTGTCTGGTGGGGTGGAGCGTGAGGCGGTGAGTGTCTGGTAGGGTGGAGCGTGGGGCGGTGGGTGTCTGGTGGGGTGGAGCGTGAGGCGGTGGGTGTCTGGTAGGGTGGAGCGTGGGGCGGTGGGTGTCTGGCTGGGTGGAGCGTGGGGCGGTGGGTGTCTGGTTGGGTGGAGCGTGGGGCGGTGGGTGTCTGGTTGGGTGGAGCGTGAGGCGGTGAGTGTCTGGTTGGGTGGAGCGTGAGGCGGTGAGTTGCTGGTGGGGTGGAGCGTGGGGCGGTGGGTGTCTGGCTGGGTGGAGCGTGAGGCGGTGAGTGGCTGGTTGGGTGGAGCGTGAGGCGGTGAGTTGCTGGTGGGGTGGCGCGTGAGGCAGTGAGTGGCTGGTTGGGTGGAGCGTGAGGCGGTGAGTGTCTGGTGGGGTGGAGCGTGAGGCGGTGAGTGGCTGGTGGGGTGGAGCGTGGGGCGGTGAGTGTCTGGTGGGGTGGAGCGTGAGGCGGTGGGTGTCTGGTGGAGTGGAGCGTGAGGCGGTGAGTGTCTGGTAGGGTGGAGCGTGGGGCGGTGGGTGTCTGGTGGGGTGGAGCGTGAGGCGGTGGGTGTCTGGTAGGGTGGAGCGTGGGGCGGTGGGTGTCTGGCTGGGTGGAGCGTGGGGCGGTGGGTGTCTGGTTGGGTGGAGCGTGGGGCGGTGGGTGTCTGGTTGGGTGGAGCGTGAGGCGGTGAGTGTCTGGTTGGGTGGAGCGTGAGGCGGTGAGTTGCTGGTGGGGTGGAGCGTGGGGCGGTGAGTGGCTGGTTGGGTGGAGCGTGGGGCGGTGAGTGGCTGGTTGGGTGGAGCGTGGGGCGGTGAGTGTCTGGTTGGGTGGAGCGTGAGGCGGTGAGTGGCTGGTTGGGTGGAGCGTGAGGCGGTGAGTGGCTGGTTGGGTGGAGCGTGGGGCGGTGGGTGTCTGGTGGGGTGGAGCGTGGGGCGGTGAGTGTCTGGTTGGGTGGAGCGTGAGGCGGTGAGTTGCTGGTGGAGTGGAGCGTGAGGCGGTGGGTGTCTGGTAGGGTGGAGCGTGAGGCGGTGAGTGTCTGGTGGGGTGGAGCGTGCGATGGGCTACCAGCGAGGGAGTTTTGGTGTGTGGGGTGTGCAATGGGGAGTCTGTGAGGAGTGTGGTGCTCGCTAACAGCACTTGCCAACATATTGTTAAGGCTATAGGGGGATCCTTGTCTTTGTTTTGGAGTGGTGGTGTCGCGGTTAGCTATTGTAGCGTTACGAACCCGGTGACCCGAGTTCGATTCCCGCTCACGGCCAACACCATTGATGATTATCTGAACCGGTCCTGAGCCTCCTCTAGGTCGACTCAGCCTCAAATGGGGACCTGGTGCGGCGTGTAAAAACATCGCCACAGGGGAGACAAAGGCGGCCGGGCGTGGTGTTGGCCACCCACCACCTCACGTACCATTCTGGCCTTCATAGGTGCTCGCAAACAACACTTGCCCCAACATTCTGTTAAGGCTCAACGGGGGATCTTTGTCTGAGTGAGTTGAGCGTGTGTGGGGGTTGGGTTGAGGCGAGGCTGTGGGGGGTGAGGGGGGGGGTAGGTGAGACCGAGAGAGAAATTGCAAAGCCTAAAGGACCGCATTTGTGTGCCGACTGCCTACCGACACACACCGCCCGCCCCCTGGCAAATCAATCAGGCAGTGTCATAGTCAGTGCCTGGAGGAGGAGGAGGGGGGTGGAGGCATTCCCAGCTGCAACCCAAAGCGAGAGAGAGGATGAGGAGGGAGGAGGTTGGTGGTGGTGATGATGGGGGGGGGGAGGGACTTAAGGGAGGTAGGAGGAGGGGAGAGCAAACGAACGAACGAGCGAGTGAGAGAGGTGGGGTGGGGGTGAGAGCGAGCGAGAGAGAGGTGGGGGTGGGTAGCCAGTCTCTCCCACACGCAGTGCGCGCGCAGAGCGGGACAAGGAGGCGTCACCGCAGCGCCCCGTGGCTCCTGCACCGAGAGGCGACGTCCAAAGCCGCCTCGCAGTGACAGCGGCGACGGCGCAGTGGGCCGACCGCGAGCCAAGCCCTAAGACGACTGCCCCCTCTTGGCATCAACCAGAGCCATACCCCCCCCTACCCTGCCGCCGCCGCCACCACGCCCGCAGAACTTTTATTGGACGTAACTTTTCACCGCCGTCTGGAGGAAGGGAAGGGGAGAGGGCATCCCAAGCGCTCGTCGAGGGAGAGAGATTCGAGTCTCCGAGCGCAGAGGCGAGAGGTGCTCCGCTCTTCCCGTTCTCCGTGGCAGGTGAGTGCCCCGCAGAGATTGAGAGTGTCCTAGCGTTGCTCCGTGTTGGGGGGGGGGTGTTGTTGGTGTTGCGATGACGGACGAGGCTCTCTCGGGGCGCGATCGACTGCGGCAGGACTGCGCCGCTTGCTCGAGCGGGCTGGCCATGCCTGTGCCTGGCCGCTCCTAGGTCGACTCGGCCTCAAATGAGTACCTCGTGCGGTGTGTAAACATCGCCACTGGGGAGACAAAGGCGGCCAGGCGTGGTGCTGGCCACCCACCCGCTCGTGTGCAGTGTCGGCCTTCATAGGTGCTCGCTAACAGAACTTGCCCCAACAGTCTGTTGAGACTATACGGGGGAATCTTTGTCCTTTGTCTGTCCTGTGACAGACGTGCGTGCGTCCGTCAGTCAATCCGTGCGTATGATGATGGTCGTGGTGGTGGTCATTGACGACGATGATGACGGTTCCGTTCAAAAGATTGCCGCGTGCGTTTTCCAAAGTCACGCTGCATAGCTCTCTCCGATGATGCTGTCGGGTTATCTTGTTCGGCGTGATGTTCGACGTTTCGTCGCATGTGCCGGGAGCTCCTTAGGCTTCCTGCAGGCGGCAGCGATGTGAAGATGATGTAGTGCACTGCGCTTTTTGACGGGCCGCAGTTAGTGATGGCGATGAACAGTAGCAGCCTTAATAGAGGCTTTTTGAGGTTAGATCGCGTAAATGTATGAATAAATGTGTCGTTAAAACCCGCCACCACCCGACACAGCCAACTAGTAAGGGTTTTCACGTAAACAGAACGTGCAAATTCGCCACTAGTACGGCACTAACCGGTGTGTTGGAGAGTGTGTCGGGTGGTGGCGGGTTTAACGACGCATTTATATATATACCACGCGATCTAACCCAAAAACACCTCTGTCATGGGTGATATTGGTCGCGAAAGCGAACAGTGGCAGCCTTGTGGGTGGGTGAGTTGGTAGATCACGTGGAGATGGAGCATGTGTGAGTGTGCTTGCCCACCGACTAAGCATTGGTTGTGGTGCTGCCCGTGCCAGGGGTAGTGTACAGCAAGTAGGTTCGAAACTATTTGAGTGTCGTCTCCTTTTGTGTGCCATGTGGATTTCTCCACGCAAGCCGCGTCTCTTTCACCTGTTAATCGCTTGAGTGGCCGCCGTTATTTATCCATACTTTTTGGTAAAGTTACGTAGATAGAGAAAAAATAATAAAATAAATTCACGACGTTTCGATGGCAACAAAAGCAATCGTCTTCAGCAAACCGCCCGCTTTATGTTTTCACCTGAAGACGATTGCTTGTGTTGCGATCGAAACGTCGTGATTTTATTTTATTATTTTTCTATCTACGTGACTTTATCGAAAGACCCAAAGAGTATGATGAATTCCTGCAGTCACGAAAGCTTTAAGTCGTTATTTATCCAGTTAAGTCTCATTCAGGCTTGAGACTCGCTTCCAATGAGCGTCCATCTATTTGAATGTTTGGTCGATGCAATGGACGAGTGTTTGCCATGAGAAACCGGGGGGGGGGGGGGGGGGGGTAACAAGACGCCACGCGTCTTGATTCAAGATGAACGTGATGGTTAAAATATAATTAAGGTGAGCAAAAACAAAGCCGAGCAAAACCCCTCCTGAAAAGCGGGCCTGGTTTCTACCGAGTCGTCGTTGTTTTTGTCATCCAGGTCACGTCGGCCGTCTTGGTCAAATCACATTCTGTACGAGTGTCGAGTGTCAGTTGAAATGCCATTTTCAGTTTCATAATCACGGTATCATTCGTACAAAATCCGTGTTGTTGTTGTTGTTCCATCAGCGTTGACGAGTGTCACCCCCACGACGCTTCCCCGTCGATTATTTTCTCCTTCACCGAGTCCACTTTTGGTTACAAGTTTGACATTTGAAACTTTTTTTATACGCACACATCTTAAACCCATTACGCAACCTTTGAAAAAAATAAACCTGCTGGGGCTCAATAGGAAATTAACTGTTTATAAGTAGAGGCACCTAACGCTATGCCCTGTCTATCGGGGGAGGGAAGCGGTGATGGCAGTGGTTAACGTAACGAGCAATCAACCCGGCAAGATGAGTTAGATACTCGGGTCACGGCCAGCATCTCTTGGCGAGTGACATCTGAACCAGTGTTGGGCTGTTCCCCATTCACCAATCGTCATTGAATAGTTTGGTGAAGTATGGTCAAAATATCATCCATGACCACCAACACGGCGTGGGGAGGAAGCCGTTATAAAGCTCTGATTCACATCTGGGAAAAAAGAGCTTTATAGCTCATCGGATTCCTCCAGAATAAATACATATTCTGATTCTGATCTGGGAGTGGATTGATACAAAAACTGTAAATGATTATTAATGTACGCATTAATGTCCTCAACAACAACAAGAACAACATCAGCGAAGTGAATTTTCCAGAGCCTGAGTCCTATTCTGGTTTCGTGTTTCACAGGCACGTTAACGTTTTCTAAACGTCTAAACATTCACGTTCACGGAGTTGGTGGTGGTGCTCGCGGTCGCTACCTGTTACAAACGCCTCTCTTACCCCAGCCGACAAACCCCCCCTCCCTCCCTCCCCCCCTGCTTTTGTCTGGTTTTTGAAAATAAATTGTCGGCATTAAATCATTAAATCGATATCAGATGTGCTCTCCAGTCGCCTGAAGATCAGACTCCTGCCTCTCACAGCGACGACCACCGAACCGGAGATCACTTGAGGACACTCTCTCCCTCGCACCACAGGAATTGCGGGGCGGGGGGGGCGGAGAGATGGGGGTGGGGGGGACATTATTCCGAGCGGCTCAATTTGAAAGGACATCACTTGAGAGATTTAAGGCATCGCTCGATCCGCTCGCCCCGCGCCCACCCGTGGTGATGTCGGATCATTTCAGCGCCTGGCACGACTCATCCTGGGGCCCTGTGCCGTGCCAGACTGGCGAGACGAGGAGGAGGAGAGATGTGAACTTTTTTTCTTCTGTTTTCGAAGACGGTGAGGGAGCCTCCGTTCTGGTTAACTTGCGACCACAGATGGAACAGATCACTCGGCCGCTTTGGACGCTCAAGCGAGATCTTAATGGTGTTTGAAAATAAATAAATAGATAATTAAATATGAGGACCCAGGTCTTTATTTCTTGCGGAGTATATTTTTTTTCCGGGTATGGCTGATGGTCTGGGAGCAGGGCGGCACGTGATCGAAGTAGCCACAGCCATAGCGAGGGGGATACTGGATGTGGTGTGCCGGTGGTGAGGTTCAGCCCTGGCTGTGTCTGAGCGATTGTGGCCACGGCGCGGGCAAAGAGAACCACACTTCGCTGGAAGTTTGAGGGCAGCGTCTGCGATGGTGTTTTTGCGTGGGATTTTTTTATTTTATTTTGGCGTTCGGATATTTTGTCGTGCAGTGTCGCGTGCCGTATGTAATGAATCTAGATTTGACGTTTTCGCGACTGCGGGGATCCATACTCTTTGGTTCTTTCGGTAAAGTCACGTAGGTAGAAAATACAATAAATGTAATCACGACGTTTCGGGCGCAACACAAGCGTCCGTCATCAGGTGGGACAACCACAGCAAGAAACAAATTGCTGAAGTGGGCAAAATAACCAAAGCGTACGTATGTAATGAGTTTGATCATATCAGTGGCAAGTGATATCTGAACTAAACTAGTCCCAGGTCGCAAACCTTACCCAAACTTGCACTGGCGAAACATTGTCAAACGTTCCACAGATCCCACAGTACGTAGCGGAGGTGGGGAGGGGAGGGGGGAGGCCTTAATCCAGCAGTGGATTGACAAAAGGCCGTAAATAATTCGAAGAGTCTTAAGCGTGCAATTGTGAACAATTATCTATTCTTTTGCAGGGTATTTAAGTCGTGTGTAGAAACCTTTTTTGGGAGCGATTTCACGCTCGCGCTTTGATATTCATGCGGAGTGAAGTGTTGGTATTTATTTTAAAAGTTATAAAAATATATAGTTGGCGAAGTCAAATTAACGAGCGGTTAAAGGGTTTCTGGGATGAGCCAGCGAAAGTGGCGTATCGCCGAGCATGGGTTTCGTCAGACTGATTTACCTAAAGATTATGTCGCACTTTTAATAAGAGTTCATTAAGCCCGTCATTATGACAGCCTGTGTAAGTTTGATTGGGAAGTACAGTTTGTAATAACTTGTAATGGGGAGAAATACAAATCACCCACGTACTGCACTGTACACGTAGGTGCACAGTGCAGACCTTATGTCAACCCACTGCTGGATGTGAACCTCCCCACGCGACTCGATTTGGCGGGGAGCTATTTGACCATACTTCACCACTCTGGTCAGTGTCGAGTTAGTGAAAGGCACGGTGCATATAGTACGACACAGCCGTTTATTTTTTTGCTGTGTTAACCTCTACATATAACTTAAGCCCTGAACAGGTTTCACTTTTATCGGTATGATCAGCAGGCCTCTATAAACAAGCCTACAAGAGCTACACTATTATTATTATCATCATCATCCATAGCGGTCACTCGTCCAACAACCAATACTCAGGCTCCAGCCTGTTCAGCGTCAGGACGCTGATGAAATTGGGCACTTTTACGGATGGTTTGGTAACAATTCCAGCACAGCACTGGCATCTAAATATATGAGCTAGGATTGTGCACCATTACATAACTCACCTCACACGTGTATCAATCATACAACGTGGCATGCAAACTCTGGCTGTGGCATGCCCTTTGATCAAACTGACACGAACCGATTCTCAGCCTCTGTACACTTAAATGAACTTCATGTACCACATCTTCTCCTGCCCCCCCCCGCCCCCCAAAGTAAACCGACTTTATGTAAGCATACACTGGAGCTGTGCTAGACTTTACAATATCTGAATTCCTTATTTATGTATTTATTATTTTCTCAGATGCATAGCATCAATAAGTTTGCGAGGTTCTGAAACTCCACGTGTGCGGTCTGCACCTACCACGTGAAAGGGTACGACATGAACCAGTTTGATGCTTCGTGTGAAGTGAAAATACTCGTTACGTAAC